CCTCCGCCGCCGCCGCCGCCTCTCGCTTCGCCGCCGCCTCCGCCTCCTCCCGCGCCGCACCCACTGCGCAAGCGCCGCCCGCTCGGGCCCCGCCCCTTCCTCTCCCGAAAGCCCACCTCTCGGTGACGTCACAATCCCGTGACGTCTCCCGCGTGACCTCACCGCGGAGGAGCGAGGGGGCGGGAAGTAAAAGGAGGAAAGGGACGGCCGCAGGCTGAGAGTGGCTTCTGGCGCAATCTTCTCCCCGCCTTGTCTCTATCCTCAAGGGGAGGGGATAAAAGTCGGAGGTGGGAGAGGAGGCTCGGGGATCGTAGTCGGTGACAATTCTATCATTTTGTTGGGGAAGGAACTGAAGTTCTGGGAGGGACAAGGGCCATAGCGGGATCACGGTAGCAAAGGGCACGCAGGACCCAACCCTCCCAGCCAGGGGTCTACCCTGGCTCTGGAAGGACCTGTTTGGTGTCGCTTTCCCAGATAGATGCTACGATGATGACTCCTTGGTTCCCGGACTCTCTCCATGGTGATTACTACCGCTTATCGCTGCTGTTCGTGTTACGCAACGGTAGTATTGTGCATCCGGAAAATAAAGGAGGCCTGGCTACTACCGTCAGCGCCAGGTCCAGACGAACACGACACACAATCGCCCCCGGCCCCCTACTCCGTGAGGATCAACCCTCTCGGAATAAAGGTTAAGTCATGAGAATTTGCATTTCTTGTTTCAAAAATAGAAGGTAAAATAAATATGGTACACTTACCCAGTCAAGTCCCATTTCAAGATCAAAGAATGAGAAAGCAAGCATAGAGAACATCTTGTCTACCCACTTCTGTCTGCAAGTGCTGATTTAAACACCACCAGTTGCCCAACTCTGTTAGGTGGGGAAGGACAAGTAAGCTCTCTGGGTCTTACCGCCCGTATTTGTAAACTAGATAGAGCTACTTGAGGACAAGAGACCATTTTCTTTCTTACCTCCTTCCCCCACCTAGCAGAGTTGGGCAACTAGCCGCAAAACAAACGCTGTAGGAAACAGATTTTTTTTAAAGCTTTTTGCCATAGGGTGAGTGCATTCGCAGGAGAGACAGAGACGGTGAGAGAGAAAGCAAGAAATCACCACCACCATCCCCCTTCAGGGGCAATGGCGAGGTTTCAATCCCTTCTCCATTCTCCTCTCAGTATCTTGGGCAGGCAGGCGCAAGTGCCATTGATAGATGATAGATAGGTAGATAGATATAGATAGATAATAGAGAGAGACAAGACTGTGCCAGTCTTGACACTACAGTAATCACACTGAATTGTAGTGCTGGAAACCACATGACTAACCACAGGTTCAGATTCCCAGCCAGGTCGACCTGAAACATGTCCAACAGGTGCATACCCAGGATCCCCGTAAGCTGGAGGGGATCATGGGTAAGGAGATCAGGGATGATGTGGAGGGCACATCTTTCTCTCTCCTCCATGCACACTGTATCATGAATAAAATACAACATTAAAAACAGAGATAGATAGAACTCATTGAAGATGGCATAGGAAGCACTTGGAAGGAAGTATATGAGAGTTTTTGTTTTGTTTTCCTAGAGGGCAATTGTGCTAGCTGGAGAGAGAGAGGGAAAGTGAAAAAGCGCCCTCTAAGGAGGCCATACCACAACTCCTTCTCCATTCTCCTTTCTGGATTTTGGGCATGCATGCACGCACGCACACATGCACGCCTGGCATGTTTTTCAAGCCTCCAGGTCTGGAACAGGAACCACGCTTTCTGCCATGTGGGATCCAGCTGCCTTAACCCCTACACCATCTGCTGGTACCCTACTTAAAAAGATTTTTTTTTTTCTATGAGAAAGAGAGAGTCAGAGCCTTGTGACTTCAAAAATAGAACAATTCCATAATTTTGGGATTCCAAAATTAGAAATCATCACAGGATCTATCCCTGATCCCCATTAGCCTTGATCACTGGCACACACATGCCTGCCATGCTTACGGAGGTCCCAGAACATGAACCCAGGACCTTTTCTAGATGGGTTTGGTTGTATCACCGCCGTGCCAGTGCCTGGCCTCTATTTGACGTTTTTTCTTTCTCTTTTTTTTTAATCATAAACTTGCCTACGCTATGATTTTAAAAAAGGCAATATAACATTAGTTACTATACAAACTTAATTGTATAGCAAAATATTGGAAGTATTAATAGGGACTTATAATAATTTTAATTTCCTTTTTTATCCTTTTCTGTATTTAAAGAAATAACTAGGTCAACATTTTTTTAAACTGGCTGACCCATTAAACATGAGGTAGAATTATCTCTGTTCATACAGAAATATGATCACAATGTTTTTTTTAGATTTTTGCTAGAGGACACTTAAACTCACCAGAGAGGAGAGAAACAGAGAGGGAAAGCAAGAAATCACAACCTCCCCCCACCAGGGAAGATGGTCACACTGCAATCCATACATGTCTTGGGATCTTGGGCATGCACACACATGTGCCTGCTGTGATTTTCAAGCCACTGGGACCAGGATTCTAACTGTGGTTGACCATGTGGGAATCCAGCCACATTAACCACCACACCACCTGCTGGCCCCCACACAATATATTCTTAACTAATGAGCTATGAATAAGCAGTAGTAGAATATATGATCCGCTGACACCTGATTGAGCATAAGAAGGGTCTGCAATAATATCCTCCAAGGTATAACAGCGAAAGTCTCTGGGTGCATAGAATTATAATATAAATGTGTTTATATTTTTATCTTTGCTTTTATTTTTCGGAGAAGTTTTTGCTATAGGGCACGTGTGCACTTGCCAGACAGACAGAGAGAGACAGAGAGACAAAGTGAGAAATTACCCCTCTAGGGAGGATGGCCACGCCGCAATCCCTTCTCCTCCATTATCCTCTCAGGATCTTGGGCACACACGCACACGTGCCCAGCATGAGTTTAAGCCACTGGATCCAGGACTCAAACCTCAGTGAACTACAAGGGAGTCCAGCAACATAGCCATTACGCTAACTGCTGGTTCCTATCTTTGCTTTTTGAAAAATGAACATGTAGAGATCAGCAGATGGCATAATAGTTGCATTGCTGCACTCCCACATGGCAGACTGCAGTTCAAGTCCTGGACCTGGAGGCTCGAAACACACCAGGTACATGGGAATGTGCCCAAATCCAGGAGGAGAATGAAAAAGAAGGGATTGCAGGTGGCTAACTCCCCTGAGGTGTGATTCCTCTCTTTCTCTCTGTCTCTGCCTCTCCCATGAACACACATGTCCTATAGCAAAAATCTCTCTCTAAAATTAAAGAAGAAGAAGAAGAAGAAAGAAATATTTCCTTTTAAGAAGAAAAAGACAAGGACCAGCAGGTGGTGTGGTGGCTAAGGGTGCTGCACTCCCACATGGACAACCGTGGTTCGAGTCCTGGACCTGGTGGCTTGCTTTCTCACTTTCCCTCTTGCTCTCTCTCTGTCCCCTTTTCTGGTCAAATTGGAATGGATGAATAAATAAAGGTAAATAAAAAAATAATTCTTAAAAAAAAAGAATTTTTAAAAAAGAAAAAAAGGAAAAGGCCAGCAGGTGGCGTGGTGGTTAAGGTACTAGACTCCCATAAGGCCCACCAAGTTCAGGTCCCGGACTCAGTGGCTTGAAAATCATGTCAGGCTTATGTGTGTGTATGCCCAAAATTCAGAGAGGAGGGTGGAGGAGAAGGGATTGCTGCATGTCCATCCTCCCTTGGGGGTGATTTTTCACTTTACTTCTGGCAATAACCTAAAAAATAAATAAATAGAAATTAAAATTAAAAAACAACTGATAGCCAGTGACGTGGTAGTTAGGGTGACTGGGTCCCACACGGCCTACTGCACAGTTGAAGTCTCAGAGTCAGTGACTTGAGAAGTACTCCAGGAGTGTGTGCATGCCCCAAATCCTGAGAGGAAAATGGAGAAGAAGGGATTGTAGCATGGCCATCCCCTGAGTGGGGGTGGGGTGCTTTCTCATCTTCTCGCTTGTTCTGTCTCTGGTGAGCACATGTGCTCTATAGCAAATTTTTAAAAAGGAAAAGACAATCAAATGATCTGGAGGCTTATCAAACATGAGTTCATTTCAGTTTTCACATTCTCCCCGTCAAGAGAGAAACCAGGGGACCAGCATGTGGCATGGTGGTTAAGGTGCTGGACACGCTCACATAGCCGACAATGGTTTGAGCCCCAGACCAGGTGGCTTGCTTTCTGACTTTCTCTCTCTCTCCCTTTGTGTGTTTCTTTCTGGTCAAATTTTTTAAAAAATGAATGAATAAATAAATTTAAATAACTAATTCTTTAAAAAAAAAAAGAGAGAGAGAGAGAGAGAGAGAAACGAAGTTGCAAAGCCAAAGAAGCTGCTAACAATTAGATGAGCTGTTGCGTTGAGCAAACAAATGTCTGCAGGCTTCCCGTGAGCAAGGCTGAGTTGGGGACAGGGGTCCAGAAAGAGAGCTCGCTTCCTTGTGTCACGTGACCATGGGCAAACGATGTAGCTTCCCTCTAAACCTCAGTTTTCTCATCTCTATATAGGAAATGCTGCAGAAAGGTCTTTAAGGTGGAGCAAGAGAATCAATCGAACAAAACACGGAAAAAGTGTTTGGAATTTACCCAACGTCTACAAGTAGGATTTGCGTAAGTTTAACTACAAGCCAAAATGTCCATGCCATGCTTATCTCCCAGGACTGGAGATCTAAATAAGGTGGGCATGAGTGCCTGTAAGTGTAAAATATCAAGATTTTACCTGACATTGGGAAAGACAAGGACATTTCCATAAATAACTTTAGAAAGACAGCCAACAGTGCAAAGCAGCCTGTGTTCGGGTCCCCGATGAACAGTGGACAAAGAGGCTGTAGGACTAGGGAGCAGGGAAGGAGGGGAGGGGTTGGGATGCCCAGAGACAGCCTTCAGGGGGCCTGGCCAGGC